CTGCACCTTCATTGCCTTCCCCAAGATTCACTGCTGTCACTTCGGTCATGTCTAGATGAGCAGGTTGCACCGGTTTAACTCACAGCAATTTTTAAACCAATTTAGTTAAACTGGTGCAAGCCCCTGAGTGGCCGCTCTTGGGAGTTGAAGAGAAACTGAAGTATGCTGCTCTTAAATCAAAATAAGTGCCCACATCAGGGTTAGCATCAGTTTAGCTAAATCAGATTAAAGTCACACCTTCAGTTAAACCAGTGCTGCTTTCTTGTGTAGACAAGCCTGAACCCAAACCCCAGATCTGAACCCTGCCAAGCTGGGCCAGCTCTGAGTTTAGTGGGCAGCTCCTTCCCTATAATGGGGCAAACCCAAACATGAGGTGCAAACTCATGAACTGTGGGAGGGGATCAAAATCCACAGACCTGTGTCTCTTTCTGTTGCTTCTCTCCTGTCTGTGGCCTCCCACACCTGGTCCTTGCAGCTTCCTGGTGTTTCTCCAAAGCTGACTGTAAGCTCCTTAGGGGTAGGGCCCTTGCCTCCATAAGAACGGCCATACTGGATCAGACCAAAGGTCCATCTAGCCCAGTATCTTGTCTTCTGACAGTGGCCAATGCCAGGTGCCCCAGAGGGAATGAACAGAACAGGTAATCATCAAGTGATCCATCCCCTGTTGTCCATTCCCAGCTTCTGGCAAACAGAGCCTAGGGACTTCATGTATTTTGTGGGGGCTGGGTGCCCCCATGGTGCTGTATAAATCAGTAATTGTCATAGGTCTAACACTGGCTGCAGCATCTCTCCGTTCTGCTCGGCCAGGTTATGTAGTCACACAGGGGCTAATTTCAGAGTGGTAGCTGTGTTAGCCTGTATCAGCAAAAACAACAAGGAGTCCTTGTGGCACCTTAGAGACTAACAAATTTATTTGAGCATAAGCTTTCGTGGGCTAAAGCCCACTACATCAGATGCATGCAGTGGAAAATACAGTAGGAAGATAGATAGATACAGAGAACATGAAAAAATGGGGGTTGCTATACCAACTCTAATGAGACTAATCGATTAAGGTGGGCTATTATCAGCAGGAGAAAAAAAAACTTGTATAGTGATAATCAGGATGGCCCATTTCAAATAGTTGACAAGAAGGTGTGAGTAACAGTAGGGGGGAAATTCCTCTGCTCTGGTGCAAGTGTGCCTGGGATCCCTTGTTCATCTCTTGGGGGTTCTGTGATTCCAAAGGGACAGGATCATGGCTTGAGGGGTCCCCTTTAGAAAGAGGGAGCTGTATCCAGGATCTGGAGATTTTGATCTGTGGCTCTTTTATCATTGCAAGGACAATAATGACACTAGGACTTGTTCTATTCAGCTAACATTCTCCGGGCGGATCCTTGGAGGGATCCTGAGCCCTTTATCCTCTGCGAGGAACTCCCAGAGCACTCACTGCAGCCTGTAGTGAGGTTGGAGAGGGAAAGACTTGGGATTGTTGCACTGGGCGGGGTGTCTCCGACCCTACCCTTCTCCCAGTGTAATGTAACATTTTAGCTGTGATAGAGGAAAGGGCACATTCATTCCAGGCAGGGCCTTCAAAGGGCATGTCTGACCGCAATCTCCTGCACCAGCACTACCTGTTTCTCCCAGCAGCCTCTGGTGCTGGCTGAAGAAGCTGCATGTTTGTTTCCTAAGGAGAAGCTGATGCTCTTTTCTAATACGCTCTCTCTTCCTGCTGCAGCTCACGCTCTTGCTAACCCTGGAGGACAAGCTGCACCGACAGTTAAGCTACGACCTGCTGCCAAGTAGGTTTATTTATAATTATCATGTCCTATTATTGATCTAGTAGTCGTGCCTGAGGGCCCTGAGCAGGGTTGGGCCCCATGGCACAAGGCCATGCTCAGACTTACAGGAGGACGTGGTCCTTACTCCAAAGAGCTCAGTCTGTTTACAACCTGGTTTCCTTTCCTCTCTGCACTGGAGGAGGCAGCCTGAACCCTGCCAGCCAGGTGCAGGGTCCTGCCCACCTGTGTCCCCAGAGCAGTGGGTGTCCGGGCTCACAGCCTTTGGGAGCATAGTGGAATGGCCATTAGGAACATTCACATTATCCTGATCAGAATTTCACCTCTGCACAACAATACTGTGACACCTGTCAAGAGAAGAGGAAGTAGGTAGTTTCTCCCCTAAGACAGCAGCCTTTTTCTGCAGCTTTAGTAAAGGGGAAAAGTCCATGGCTGAGTGATGAGCTGCCCTTGTATGGTGTGAAAGTTCCCAGCCATTCATCCTGGCTCTGCTGCAGAGCCCAGAGGTGGTTCTCTTCAGAGCATGCCCAGTCCCAGCCCGACTCATGGGGAAGACAGGAGCCCTCTGGAGGAAGTGCAGCCATCCTTATCGAGCGCCCTGGAGTCAGAGTTCTTTATCTGGCCTCACAGACAGCCGAAAAGCCCAGAGCCAGGGATCTCCCTTCACAGGGCTTGGTATCATAAAAGGCCCTTTTTGGTTTCTGAGCCAAGAATGTCAAAAGGGCGTTCTGCTGAGATGGCCACACTTTGCCTGGTCTGGGAGTGGAACCTTGCAAAGCTCATTCCACCCGGCACTTGGCATGAGGCCCACTCAGTGCTCACCTACACACTCTGTCTGCCCCATAGTCACATGGGCTGGTGCTCAGCCAGCCCTAGGCTCACTCCATCTGTGTCCCCAAAGCCAAATGCATCAGCAAAAGCTTCCAGCTGGGCTGTGTGCCAGGAGAGGTGCTCTCTGGAGGGAACGCGAGCGGCATGAATTTCCTGTTCTCACCGTTAACCCTGTTTCTGCAGCTGACAGTTCCAAGGGCTTGGCCTCAGAGCTGGTGCACTACGGATTCATCCATGAGGTGAGCCTCCTCCCCCCTCCTTTAGAATGTGCGCGGCTCACTCAGGCAGGGATCTGCTGCCGATATATTAACACAGGACTCGCTAATTCTCCACCACACCCTAGGCCTCAGGGGCATGACCTGGGCAGTCCACTCACTTATTTTCCCATTTAAGCAAGCTTGTTCTTATGACTGTGACCAGGGTCAGACGGGGCCATTTTATGGTTGCATGATGAACCCCCTACTTTTTACCATGCTGCCACTCTTTGCCTATCTGCTTTGCTCAGGCCTGGCTCCAGGCTGCTCCAATGACAGGAGTAGCCATATTATCATGGCATGAGTCACACAGTGAGTGGGACCAAATTTAAAAATGATTCTGGAGTATGAAACCAGAAGAGCTGCCTAGAGCAAAGAGCCCAGATGAGACTCTCTGCCACCTCCTGCCTCCCCCAGAGAAGCACCCGTGCCTGCTGCTGCCCCAGACAGCAGTCACTGACCTACACTGCAGCTTTCTACCTGGCCAGAAGATGGAACCAATTCCCTCACCATCAAACTTGTGCACAGCACATTTCTCTTCAGTGGCCCCAGAGCTAGTTCAGCAGTCCAGAGCCAGGGGGATGCAGCTGCTTCGAGTAGCAGAGTTGCCTGGAGGAAGCCTGGCTAGGAGGAAGCAGACACACTTATTTTTGCCAGAAAATGGTGTCGCGTTTTGGCCATGAGTTGGGAATTTGGAAACCATAAGTGAAGTCTGGGAGAATTCCTCAATCTGAATCCTGACCCTACCCAAGCAATTAGTCAGCTCCTTTGACAAACAGCTTTACCTGCTGGCCACTTGCAAGATGGTGCATTTATACGTCGTTCCTGGACAGCCTCCTGAGCATATGGACCATATAGAACAGAGGTCATCTGCCAAAATGAATGGGGAAGATTTGGGAAAGAACAGGAGTCCCCTCCCGTAGAGCATTTCTGGAAAATATGTGGCTCCTGGTACAATCTGTTGATTCGAAAGTCAAACAATTTTCTGTTAAGAAGCAGAGAGAAAAGTCTTCCACAAGCCGGTGATTTTGTGGGTGTCGTGGCGTGTGTGACCCTCCGCGGCAGGGAAATTAACAAATCCTTCCTTCACTTGGGTAGGAGAATGTTACCACGAGGCTCCTGGCAATCCGATGACCCCTCTACAGCATCAGTTGCTCTGCTTACCTTACCTTTGCCTCTCTGGATCTCCATGGCCCTGTACATCTGCAGTCATGCTCACCAGTTCTCCTCTTCTCCTTGCTACTGTAGAGACATGAGAGGTGATAGTGAGGATTAAATGTGGGGAGTGCTCTCAGCTACACCAAGCCTAATTAACCTGCTGATTCCTTTCTCCTAGGATGACTGTGAAATGCTGGCCAACTTCCTAGAAAATGCTTTTCACAAGCACCGGTCTCCTCCCTTGTGAGTCACCCCGATGAGTTCTGGGCAGAGAGGTGCCCCCCAAAGGAGGATGGGAACTGTCCCAGGCCAGAAGGAACTGTGGGGCTCTTGATCAGGCTTTCCGCTGCAGAGGTGACCTTGCCATTTGTTCCTGGCTGTATCTCTACTGTCCATCCAGCCTGTGATTCAGAAAGAAAATGGCAAGAAGAGAAAGGACCAGCAAACATGAGGCATTTGACATGCGTCGTTGTTACCAGGATCCCGCCAAGAATGTGCTCTCCAGCCTCCACTTCTGAAGGAGGCCAGGGCGAGCGGTGAGGTGGTTTTAGGAGTGGAGGATCATGCAGGAAGCTTCTGGTTGCAGGGTTTTTGAAGATGCAAAGCTGCTGCAAGAGCCCACAACTGGTAAATTTACCTCTGGGAGCAAGAAGCACCTTCACTGTGGGCCATCACTTCGCTTCCTCAGCTGGAAATGGTCACAGCAGGGAGTGAAAGAGTGGGGGGAAGTGCAGGTTTGGGAGGATCTTGAGCAGTTTCCTGTCTGCCATATTCCACTCCTTTTCCAGGCCTGATTCCTCCTGCTCTGCTGGAGGGCAAAGGAGCCATTGCGATGCCTTATAATAAGAACTGGACTCCCTCTGCTAGGCTGAGGAGAGGACATTGTGAGCTTGACTGACAGGGCATGGGAAGAAATTGCAGGAATCCAGAACCATCAGGTGGTTCATAAAATATGGACCAACAGAACCACCACTGGTGCTGAGCACAGCCTCTGTCATTTCAGTTAGTGAATTTTTGGAAGGCTAAGAGACAAAGTGAAATGTGGAATTTCCATCATTAGACGGGAGAGTGGGGGCAAATATAGCTGCTGATTTGTCAGGTTCAAGATTGGTGTATTATGCAAATAGGAATTGTGTATCAATGGCTGTGCCATGCTGCTCTGCCTGCACCTCGCTGCTCTGAGTGTACTGTTCACACTATGCCATATGGGCCACGCTGCACTGACTGTATCATGCTATGCTGACTTTCTTACACTGTGCCCGATTCCCTGTCTAGTTCTGGCTGTGTATGCTTTGCCACGCAGCACAGATTTTATCGTGGTGTGCTGGGTTTGCCGTGCTAAGCTGCTTTGCTAAGCTGTCCTGGCTGTTTAATTACGTGGGTTTTCCAAGTTGTGCTGATATAGTGCTAACTTTGCAGATACAGACATTTCAATAAATTGATTGAAAAGAACAAACCCCATCACAAAACATACCTGAGTGACCCATTTGGAGTCTTTGTGGATTGTTTACTCTCCCCATTACACAAAGAAGGGGTAAAGTAGCTTCCTCCATGTCCAATTGGCTTATCCAGAGTCAGGTACACTGAAATGCTGAACGAATTAGGTGGAGAAACATTCTCCTAATGCTTGGTTCAGTGGGGCTTCTCACTCTTTCTGCTTATGCCATGACAAGTCTGGGCTTGGGTCTATGGAAATGCTGAAAGTTTGCTTTGTGCTGTGCTTGTTTCATGTCCCTGATGGAACAATTAGCTCTAGTTCAGCTCCTAGGTTTTCCCCTTGCTGATTTCTTTGTATAACCAACAAGTCAGAGCTCGATTTCCCTAGAGAATTTTCCTCCCAGTGACTTTGCTGTGTTCTGCAGTGGTGTATTCGTTAGCTAACCTCGACACAATTCCTAGAGTACATGATGCATTAGGCAAGGACGATCTGAGGTTGAGGAATGCAGCCCCACACCCTGAAAGAGCTCCAGCTGGTAAAACAAAACACAACACTGCAGTCTGTCTGCTCAGCACCAAGGATTGTTGTGGTTTTTTCCTCAACAGTATTTCCTCAAAAGTATTTTTTTCTAGCAGAAGAACTCATTAAAAAAATCCAGTGCAAAACAAGCCAAAGGGCTTATAATCGATGTCTTAGGTACTTATATGGCCCCCATCCGCCTAGTATCTGAGCGCCTCACACTCTTTAAATACAATGTTATGTGATTCACCTTTGTGAGCCTGTATCTCATTCTGTAAGTGTGAAAAGGCACACGTCCAAAAGGGAAAGCTTCCAATTCTGTTTGGAGAATAAAAGAACTGAGTCCCAGTCTACGGACTAGTTTCAGAGTAGCAGCCGTGTTACTGTCTGCCAATCTTTTGCATCTGCTGTTAGACACCAACATGCTTGCCAATTTATTTTACTTCACGCTCACATGAACACTATCCCAGGATTCACAAGACTATAACAGGGTTCAAAAAAGAACTAGATAGGTTCATAGAGGATAGGTCCATCAATGGCTATTAGCCACGATGGGCAGGGATGGCGTCCCTAACCTCTGTTTGCCAGAAGCTGGGAATGGGTGACAGGGGATGGATCACTTGATGATTCCCTGTTCTGTTCATTCCCTCTGGGGCACCTGGCATTGGCCACTGTCGGAAGACAGGATACTGGGCTAGATGGACCTTTGGTCTGACCCACTATGGCTGTTCTTATGTTCACGTATGAGATGCTGAGCTGGTTGGTCTCTTCAAAATTAAAAGACAAATCTGAATTTTGATTTTACTTTTACCATTTTGCCACAATTAATTGTGACCCAACCTTTTCTGCAAAAATAGATTTTAGGTAGATTTGTAGATTATAAAGTCAGATGGGCTCACTGCGATCATATAGCCCAGTGGTTCCCAAACTGTGAGCTGTGGCATACAGTCCCAGGTGGTCCGCCATCATGGGTGGAGTTTCAGGGGGGTGAGGGGGGAGCTGCAACACCAGGCACTTTGTGCATCCAGGTCAGTTTCTCCATGTGGGCTGAGTAAGGGGAGGGC